ATCTCTACCTGACCTCTTCACTACTTCCTGGTCACCTTCCCATATTGACCTCTGTTGTTTTAAGGTTACTGTATTAGCTCCTCTGCCGTGGGGACATCAAACACTTTCAAGTTTTGGGTTTCCTACCTATCCCTATTCCTCCCTTATGTATTCTCCCCTTAGCATGTGACCCAAGTCTAATAATATTACTGCATTTGTTTTAGATCTAAAGTCCTCTTATAAGGGAGAATATATGATTTTTCGCCTTCTGAGCTTGACTGACCTCGCTCAGAATGATGTTCTCCAGTTCCATTCATTTCCTTGAGAATGATAAGATTTCATTCTTCTTCATGGCTGAGTAAAATTCCATTGTATATAAATACCACATTTTCTTAATCTAGTTGAAAGAGGTAGAGACATTGAATAGTGAAGTGATATGATCTAATTTTTAAATTAAAAGTTTTAGTCTGATTGCTATGTGGAAAAGATGATGATGGCCTTGGTGATAGTGGTAGAATTGGCAGAGATGTTGGAGTTCTAGATACATCCAGATATAGATCTTCCAGAACTTGCTGATTTGAGACAAAAAAGAAAGAAAAATGATGTGGAACTATCAGAAAATATATTAAATCAAAAAAACACCACCAACAACAAATCAGATCTGGAATATGAGAGTGGTATGCCTCTAATGAGACCAAACTCTTTTAACAATTTTCTTGCATGTCTAGGGTCAATCTTGTTATGTCATAAATTTTCCAACATTACTGTGAGAGAGATAAATGCCAAATAATATCTCAAGTCATATTGAAATTAGACTTTGTTATCTCATACTGAGTTCAATGAGTATTTGCCTTTAAATGTGTATGTTTAAAGTATAACTTAAAAGCATATTGCTATTAAATGTATATTAGCCTTTAATTTTCTATTTTGTAGTTAGTTTTACTGACATAATTTTAATCTTTTGAAGTATAAGGAATAAAATAGTTCTGCAATTTTGAAGTCTTGAGAAAATCTGTGGTTTAAGATTTTACAGGTCTTAAAGTGAGATAAAGCTCACATAAAATCTTAGTAATATTGTGCATTAACTGAAAGAAACTTGAACTTAAACTCCTGAACAGCTTAGTGAGTTTTTAAATATCAATTTATAATTTCACTATTAAATTCTGCAAAGGAAATATGTAGAAAAACAAAGCTCAACTTGCTCATTTTTTCTGTATCATATAATAAGAACTTTCAGGCTTACATTTCCTGAAGTTAAAATTATTCGCAGGTGCTCAATTGCATGTGCAAACAGATTAATTAAGGACATGTACCCTATAATTATCAGATATAATGAAATACCTGCAGTCAGTTGCATTAAGACATTGTAATTACTAGCAAATTTGAGAGTTCAGTTGCGCTATTAGCATTATAATTTGATATAGAATACTGGGCCTATGTCATGATTTTTAAAATAATTCTATTCATTATGTTTTCAGTGACTAAAAATATGCTCTTCATTTCATCACTCGTTGATGGCATTATGTTTTTTATTTGCCCACCCATTTGTGTAAAGGAAACTCTTTGTACTTATCGTCTTCTACTCATCTTTTCAACAAACATTTTTTTTGAGTGTTTACTATAGTAGCTTTTAATCTTGGCTGCATGTCAAATCTTCTGTGAGGCTTTTATAAAGTAGTTGATACCTGAGTGAATCCCTGAAACACTGTCTCAGTAGGTCTGGAGTGAAAACAGGAATCTTTATTTTCATCCAAAATGCTGCACATAACTGTGATGTGCACTCAGAGTTAAGAATTACAGGCTTTTCAGTCAAGTGCTAGGATTATAAGAGCGAACAGGAAATAGTTGCTGTTTGCAAGAAAATCAGAGTCAAATGAATGAGACAAGTAATATAAACGGGTAATTATAGTACAGTAATTATGGTTGGGGTAAGCATACCTCTTCCCACTTAGAACTAATACATATTGGTCCTGTGTTAACTAAGTCTATGAGTGGACTATAAAACACAAAAAGAGATTTTTCTCTCTTCACCAAACCAAATGATCCAAATTGCAATTGAGACCATGTTTTCTGCCTTACCTACTCTATTCCTTAATCAAGTGAATTAGCTATAGTAGATTCTGTGATTAAACTCAGGAAATGGAAAGGCAGAAAAACCAGTTTCTATTTCTGATTTAAGAAGATAAAAAAAAAAAGGCTATGGGAAATTAGAAAGTGGTAACAGAATTGTGAAACAGTGAGCTCTTCAAAGGCAGGGCCCATAGCTCAGTGTCATTAATATTCCCCTCCTTATGGCCTCGTTGAGAATCCAGCATATGGATAAGGCATTAAATCTGATGTGGGTTTTGAGTCTTTTTTTTTTTACTGATGACTTGTTCCTATGTGGTCTGTATATACCTAAGAGAATTCTATCCCTGGCTCTCTGACCAGTGACTCTAATAAGGAAACTCATTTCTACTTTTTCAGAGGCAGAGGACATTTCAGCTTAAGAATTCAAAGAACCTTGCTTAATCTTTCATATTTGGATTGGTTTTTTTTTCTTCTTGTTTGCTTATACCATTGCCAGTTGATGTTTTGTTCTTTAATGTCTATTGTGCTTATTTTACATTTTTTTTAAAATTTCATTTACATGCTTTGCATTGTCAGCCTTTCTTCCTACAAGTTACAAACACAAATTACTACTACAGAGAGATAACCATGGAAATTTAGCCTGTCCAAAATAAAGGAGCTTATTTACCAGATTCCTCAAGCAACACCAAAATGCTCCACAGAACAGTTCATAGTAACTTAAAGTCCCTAAAAATAGGATTTGAGAAAGTTAACAAGACCACATCTAGAAATACTATCCAGGAAATCCACTGGACATAATCCAGGTTGGAATTCTATAAATAATACTAAGAAAGCCCCAGAAGGAAAGCTTCATAGATTAAAGTTCTGTTATCTTTAAGACCTAACTATAGTTGGAAACTTTTATTTTCATTCTCTGTGATTTCATAACATTAAAAAGTCCTAAATAAACCATATAAATAAAAGCTTGTCTGATTGTAGTGATGTTAATTTGTCAGCTGCAGGTTCATATGTACTGTGGATCTATCTAATGTGAGTATGAATTATATAAACTAGAAACTGTATGAAAATATCCTGCAGTACTTGTTGATCCATGTGCTACATGAATGTTTGCTTCCTATTTCACATGAAAATACATGTGTGTTAAAATGTATTTTATGTATGTTTCTCCTTTGAGAAAATTAGTTTTGAATTGTACAGGATTTTAAATGTGCAAGGACTTCAGGAATTCAACCTTCCTGGAGCTTCCTCCAAATCCAAGCCTCAAAATATGAGTAGTTGCATATTTGGTTAGATCTTTAGAATACTCTGAAACACCATTCTCCATATCCCAAACCATTGCTCTGGAAAACAGGAATTAGATGACAAAGGAAAATAAGTTGGTCTACTTCTTCCGCTTTGACATAAACATCTTGTTTCTGAGAGACATGGTTGTTGGAAAATAAACTCCCACTATCAACATTTTTAGCCTTTTGGGAAAGTAATTTTTGTAGACAAATGTGTAAGCCCATCATAGTGATTGTTTATTTAGACAACCACATTTTCAGTGCTTGTGCACATGATACGCATTTCTCTCGTTCTATGACCCAGTTCCCAGAAAAAGTTAATAAGGTATTGTCTATATTTTACTACTACTGGGTGTACAGATTACTGAAATGTAAACTAAAGCATCAGCCTTGTAAGATTTACTCTTTTGTACAAAGCATATTGAAGATACTCAAATGCCAGGATTGCAGTCATCTTCTTATACCTTCATTCACAGGAGATCTACAATGAAAACATTATTTCTCTACAGAATATTCTCCAGAACCTCCTGTTCTTTTGTTAACTTATTTTTAACTATTTCATTCCTTTTGATGCTATTTTGAATGGAATTATTTTAATTTCATGATTATTTATTGCTGGTGTATAGAAATACAAATGATTTTTGTGTGTTAATTTGTTTGCTACTATTTTACTTCATTTATAAATTATGATAGTTTATGCATATGGATTTAGGATTTTCTATTTATAATAACATGCCATCTTTTTTCCCTTCCAATCTGAATGCAGTTTTTGTTGTTTAGTTTGGTTTGTATAGTACATATCTATATCTCTGTTATAAACCTTAGAGTTTAGTGTTTTAATTTATCTTAAAGACCCCTACATTAAGATACGAATATTCATTTATCTATACTACATATCTTTTTATTCTTTTGAAGCTATCAGTTGATGTCTTTTATTTCAACCTGAAGTATTTTCTTTATGGTTTTTTTTGGGGGGAGGGCTGTACTGGGGTTTGAACTCAGGATCCTACTTACCACATGAACCATATTCCCAGCCCCCTTTATCATTTTTTGAATGCAGACCTATTGGCAGTGAATTCTCTTGCTTTTTGTTTATTTAAAAATATCCTTTTGGCCTTTATTTTTGAAGAATAATTTTAGTGACACAGCCTTCTCAAAAAACATCTTAACACTTTGAATGTTATCCCAGTGTTGTAAGCTTCCACTGTGCTAACAAGAAATTAGCTGTTATTCATGATTTTGTTCTTTATGGAATGTGTTTTTATTTTGCTGTTCTCATTATTTTTCTTTTCATCTTTGGCTTATATTAGTTTGATTATCATGTACTTAGGTGCAGCTCTGTTTATTTGTGGTTCCTTGAGTTTCATGTAGCCAAAGTTTTGAAGTTATGCATTGTGTTTCTTCAAATACTTATCCACCTCTTCTATTTCTCCGTCTTTGGTTAGCTCCAGTTATCCTTACGAGAGATAAAAGATATTTATGACACATTTTTAAAACTTGGAAGAATGTTTGAAAATAAGAGAACAAAAGATGAATGGAATGTCACAATTTCTTAGAAAATTTAGAGCATTAAGTACTGTATACATGCTACATAACCCAGTATATTTACAGTGAAAGATATTAGTGTTACATGTTCTCTTTTCCTGTTTTTGCAAAATCTGTTCCTAGGTGCATTTTCTCCTTCTGCTATTTATGCACGAAAAGACTTGCTACAACGACCTACCCACATTGCTACCAAGACTTTCCAAGCTCTTCGCATATTTGTGAACAATGAGCTCAATGAACTCTACACAGGACTGAAAACAGCTCAGAAGTTCCTGAGACCTGGTGGTCGCCTTGTGACCCTTTCCTTCCATTCATTAGAGGATCGCATTGTCAAACGATTTTTGCTTGGGATAAGCATTGCTGAAAGATTTAACCTAAATGTTAGACAGAAGGTGATACAAAAATTGCAGTTGGGTTCAGATCATGAAAACAATGAAAGAATCTCTGCAAGAGATCCTTTAATGTGGGAATTAATACACAAGAAAGTGCTTACTCCAAAAGACCAAGAATTACAAGATAACCCTAGAGGGCGCTCAGCCAAGCTTAGAGCAGCTAAAAAATTATGAGATTTATCACCATCTGATCTTCAAATATTCCCACAGTTTCTCTTAATTTTTTAATGTGATGTTCCTAAATAGCTTACTATAGCTTATAAAATGGAGAAGTCTGGACATTAATAGTACTTAGCATTTTTTTCTCAAAATGTAGGAAATTTAACATGATATAGAAAGTTCAACTCGGAGGAATGGCATCTCAAAACTGGAAAACTATGTTTATCTTTGCATTATATTTGCACAATCCTTCCTATGATGAGTAAATTTTTAGAAAAGAATTCTATGTTGTGTTTATCTAAATACATAAACTGTCAAAGAGAAAGATATTATAATCATATCTACATGCCCTCAATTCCAAATTAAGTATTTCAATTTGCAACATACTTTCTATGCCTCAAATAATTAATGATCATGGAATGAATTTTAATTTCCCTAGTTGTGAATAACTAATTACTATACCTTTCTTGAGTATAGCTTTTTACAAATTTTAATTCTCAATATTATTTTTAAAATGTATTATATTGATGAATTTTACTTCTGGAATTATAGTTCATCATTTTAAAAGGATTTTTCAGTACGATATGGGCTATGCTTCATGTATTGCAAAGTGCAAATCTAGACTTGCCCTAACAGCCCTCACAGAGACTTATTGCACAGAACTTACATTTACCCTTTAACATTTATGTTCCTTGCCTTTAGTAAATAATATAATCTCTTGTCTGAATCCTGTATTTTATTTATTTTTTTATTGTTGTGCTGTGTAGGGGTACATTGTGGCATCTACAAAAGTTCTTATAATATATCACATATATCATATTTGGATTCACCCCCTCCAACATTCTCTTTTATCTCCCCCTCGCCCCATTCCTGGAATAGTTTCAACAGTTATAATTTTTCCATTTACATACATGTGTACACAGTATTTGCCCCATATTCACCCTCCCACAACCTTTCCCCACCTCCTCCCCCCTCCCTCTGATACCAACCCCCTTAGGCAGGACCTGTTCTGCCCTTCTGTTCTTCAATTTTGAAAAAGAAAAAAATGACATTTTTGCTTGTTTAAGATAGCTACACAGGGAGTTTCCTTGTGGCACTTCCATGTATATATGTATTATAGCCCAAATTGGTTCATCTCTGTTTTTCTTTTTTCCACATTAGTCCCTGTCTTATGGTTGTTTCAACAGCTTTAAAATTTCTCTTGGGTCCTGTATTTTATTAGTGAATATTAATTGTACAAGGGGGCTATATTCTGATATTTCCATAATTCATATAATGTACTTTGATCAAATTCACTCCCTATTACTCTCTGAATCCTGCATTTTTAATTGACCTAGTCAAAGGAATCCAGCAGTCTATTTGAAATAAGAAAACTATGTTTTATTCAATATGTTAAAATGAATTCGCCTTTAATATTTTTAGTATAGTAACTATAGATAATAACTATGATACAGATAAATATTTATCTGTGCAATTGATTCATAATTCTCATGTAAACAATATGTAAATATACACTTCTCATTTACTCAGTTATTCAGCAAGTACTGAACTTGGCATTAGAAAAACAAAAGTAAGTATAGTACACAAAGGCCACAGTGCCTTTGGAGCTAGTAGTTTAGTGGAGGAGAATGATATTAGTTAAACAATCACAAAAATTGACATAATGTGTATATAATGTGTTATGTGCACTTTGGTAAATGCAACCAGAAGTAGTACATGGTACTTTCAGAGCATCTAATAGGGCTTTGATCTGTTGGAGGAAACCAGGTCCCAGAACATGAATTTCAACCAGAAGGATGAGCAGGAAATAATTAATTAAAGGGTACATGGAGTAGAGAGAGGATATGATGATTAAAGATTCATTTACATAAAGATGTAAATGAATATTCTGTTTAGTAGTTATTCTTGAAATCATATACTAATTTGCACAGTGAACTATGTCTTCAAATACAGGAAAAATTCATAACAGAGACATTATGGTTAAAAATTCTAAATGAATTCAAATAATGAAATACTATTATAACTATATGGGTAAAATAGATAGGAATTAAATACAATACATGCCATTACCTCAGGCTTACTTTCTCTGTGTAATATTTAACTTTAGTTCCCAAACTTGTTTGTTCCTTTTACTTTACAGGCTTTATTTAAATCTGAACACCCCCTACAAGGAAATCAGAATTTAAAAAAGTTCAAAGGAACAGTGTGCTCAAAATAAAAACAGGAAAATGCACTGAGGACGCTGATCACCTAAATATTACCTGAAGAATTTTGTAAGCTTCTCTTTGTATCTAAAACATATTTGTGTATAAGAAAGATTCCCAAGAGTAAGTACCCATCTGAATATCTGATTAGAAAATAAAAGACCTGCCATGGGTGGTATCACATGCCCACAATCCAAGCTACTCAGGAGATGAGATTGGGAGGATTCAGTTTGAGGCCAGCATGGGTAAAAAGTTAGGGAGAACCCCATCTGAACCAAGAAGCCAGACCTATAATCTCAGCTACTCAGTAGACATAAATTGGAGGTTTGACTGGCTTGGGCAAAAACAAGAAACCCTATCTGAGAAGTAAAAGCAAAAAAGCTGAGGGCATGGCTCAATTGGTAGAGTACCTACCCTAGCAAGTATGAGTCTTTTGAGTTCAAATCCCAGCACTGCAAAAAAAAAATTAAGAATAAAAATTAAAAGCCCAAACTCAAATTCAACAATAATTCACTTATTTCATCATTTTTGTATCTTGTATAGGATGTAAAATCAGGTAGAATTTTTTTTTTCTTTAGTGTTAATGGAAATTGCAATAGATTGTTATTTTCCCTGCCAAAATTCATGTATTTCCCAGGACTTCAGAATGCAACCTTATTTGGAAATTCTGTGATTTGAAAGGGAAGTGGTTAAGATGAAGTTATTCTGAAGCAGGACAGGCCTTTAATCCAATATGACCGGTGACCTTATATAAAGAGAAAAAAGACAGAGACACAGGAGAAATGTGGAGGCAGAAATGGGAGTGATAAGTCTCCAAGCTAAGGGACACCAACAAGTATGCTATGAGAAAGGCATGGAGCAGAGTGTCCCTCACAGTCTTTAGTAGTAACCTACCCTGACACCTTGGTTTGGGGCTTATATCTTCTAGAACAGTAAAATATATTTCTACCATGTTAAGCCACTCAATTTCTGTTAATATGTAACAGCAATCCTAGGAAACTAACACTCACATTTTTTAAAAATTTTTTTAAATCATTCTTCAACGCATACAAAATTACTTTCAAAATGTTCTATCGCAAAAATATGTACCACTTCTGTTACTAGACTTTGCTTATGATGCAATAAAATGCACAAATGAGTTTTAAATGGTTTTTAAAGGGTTAACTCTGGAAAATGGATTTGGGAAATTCAATCAAAAACACATAGAAAATAAAAAACTGTTACAATGAACATGCAGTGCTTTTTTTAATAAAATATTTTGGAATCTCTGTATTGACTACCTCCTACTAATCATCAGTATCATGTAGAATACCAGTTGATAGGCTTTTGGTTTGTCACTCAAACCAAAATAAAATGAAAATAATTGCTACTCAATTTTTAGTTGACATCTCTATTTTGTTTTATTTTTAAATGAATTCATTTTTTTCTTTGTCATCTTTGAAGATGTTTGTTTGTTTGTTTTCAGAACCATTCATTTAAATGTATATACCTTTGCTATTTCATGTAACATTTGTGTATAATTTGGGCTTTAAATTGTGATATTGAAACATTCATTATGCTAAAACAATAGCTTATAAGATTATACAGTGCAGCAACTGGGTTTTTGAAATTAGCTAACATGTCTTAAAGTTTACTTACAAATATTTGAAAAACATGTTTTCTTTAGTCTTTGCAGAGTATTAAATATATCAGAGGTTTCTTAAAAAGTTCCTATGCCTAATTTTTTGCATAAGAAACATAATTATGATCCTGTATTGCAGGCTTTCAAAATAATTTTTATTTAAAATCTTTCATTCAAAAAGTATGAGACGAGACAGTTCTTAATGAGACTTAATGTTTACACACACAATGTTTATATTTATACAATAATCATATTTTAAAGAAAGAAATCAAAATAAATACCATTCTTGCTTTTTATACTACTCCTTCCCTTTCTCTATTCACATTGATATGTGAAATTCTTATACCAACACAAGTGATATTAATTTATGATCATAACTCTGGACAAAGAAATATTTACTCTGGCAAACAGAGCCCTATATTTTAGAATCATTGTAATCATAAAAATTCACTAAGAATTGTTTCTGCTTAAAATTCTGTATTTTAGTGTAGCTGTTTTCCCATTCATTTTTGTAATTGCTGAGGTATTCTAATAGATATTTTCACATAAGCAGCATTAATAGAAAAACATAAGCATTGAGATATGAAGGGAATTTTGTGAAGTGCTTGATGACAGAAATCTTGATCAGAAACGTATTTTTCTCAGAATCAAAATGCCATATGTTTCATGTCGAGTGGAGCATAGTTTGTAAAAAGCATCACATATTCTAAAGAGGCTGGGTTGTTGTAAAACAAGCTTAACTATTTTTATATTTTCTCAAATTTCATCTGTTTGTACCTACTATCTCCAACTAATGTTTGGTAACATACTGGGTAATCTGCAAGAATACTAAGAACATTGATTTTTTTTATCTAATTGCAGCATAAACTCAAAAACATTAGAAATTCTATAGAATTAATTATTTATGATAACAAGGGTCATAGTTTATAATGCCTATCACAACATTCTTCACAGACTTTTTAGCCACCTCACTTTTGTCTGTCATACTCTACCTGAATTATAAGACAGAAAGGTAAATAAAATTTAATGCTCTAATATGCAAAGTAGGAGATTGCCTCTTCAATAACATGACATCTCCTTAACAACATTTTACCTTAAATACTGAACACGTTGTCTACCATTACCTATCATTACTAAGATGGTAGCATATTGCAGCTGAAATCAAACAAAAAGACATGAGCGATTTCTGATTCTTGAGTAATTGTTTGTATCCCTTAGATTCCATCTTATACTTTCCCAGTAATACTTGTCTACCTTTCACATGTGAAAATTGTATTGCTAAATAATCAAATAATATGAGTCTTAATTCTTGCACAAGGAAAAATGTTATCCAACTTTTACTGGTGCTAAGTTAAGAAATAGTGTAAATAACACTTGGCTGTTGAGTCAGAAAACCATGGGTGTTAATTCCAGGT